AATACTAGAGAAGATCAACTACGAGGTTTAATCATGAGTAGTGGGAAAATGGTGTTACTAGACAAATTGCTCACCAGATTAAAGGAATCTAATCATCGTGTTCTTATATTTTCTCAGATGGTCCGTTTGTTAGATATCTTGACAGATTATTTGAGGTTACGTGGATATCAACATCAACGTTTAGATGGCGGCGTTCCTTCTGAAGCTCGCAAAAAAGCAATTGAACATTTTAATGCAACAGATTCAGCGGATTTTGTCTTTCTTTTATCAACTAGAGCTGGAGGATTAGGTATTAATCTCAATACAGCCGATACAGTAATCATATTTGACTCAGATTGGAACCCACAAAATGATCTCCAAGCAATGGCAAGAGCACATCGAATTGGTCAAAAAAATCATGTAAATGTTTATCGATTTGTGACAAAAGATACTATGGAAGAAAGCATCCTTGAACGTGCAAAGCGTAAGATGGTTTTGGAGTATTGTATTATCAAACAAATGGACACGTCTGGTAAAAGCATTTTGCAGAGAAATACCAAGACTGCCACTAAAGCATCAGACAATTTTAGTCGTGAAGAATTATCGGCAATATTAAAATTTGGTGCTCAAAATATGTTCAAAGAAAGTGATAACACTAAAAAGCTTGATGATATAGATCTTGATGACATACTTGCGCGTGCTGAAACTCATGACACTATTGGGGATCAGGGTAGTAGTAGCTTTGGTGGCGAAGAGTTCCTAAAACAATTTCAAGTTGCAGATTTTGGTGGTGGGGATTTAAGCTGGGATGAAATAATTCCAAAAGACGAAATATATAAACTTTCATCAAGTCAGCAATCTTCTATTTCAATTGAAGAAGAAGAAGAGCAATATAAATTGGGAATGAAACGAAGGAGTGATAATAGTAATAACAATAATATAAAATCTGAATCTGAATCTGAAAGTGATTATTCAAATAACTCGAGGAAAAAGGCTGGTTCAAATCATAAAAAAAAACCTGCTCATAAGAATGACGGATCAAAGAAGCAAAAAACCAAGCGTCAAAAACTCGGTGATTCAGATACAAGCGCAAGTTCAAGTTTTGTTTCTGATGATTACCTTGGTTCAGAATGTAGTGATAAACATCCAAAAACAACTAAAAAAACTAACAACAAAAAAGGTAATGATGCACTTAAATTTACAAATTTTTGGAATAAACTTTTTTTTTTGAAAAGTCAAGTTGTTTAACAATTTTTTTCTAGGTGCAAATGATGCAGAAAAATCAAGATCACAATCAGATGTTGATGAATCTGACAGTAACCAATCTTCCATAAAACGTGTCTCGTCCAGTTCAGGCAAGGAGTTAAGTCTAAAAGAAATTAGAGCACTAATTAGAGCAGTAATGAAATTTGGTGATATAAATCAACGTTATGATGACATAGTTGCAGATGCCAAATTGACAGGAAAAAGTAAAGAAAATTTGATAAGGATATATAACGAGCTATTTGATACTTGTGAATCTGCAATAAGATCTCACGAAGATTTGAATGACTCGCATTCAAACTCTCGTGGGAGAGCGATCATGACTTCTTATAGAGGAATTGAGAAAATTAATGCTGGCTCGTTTATACAAAGAATTATTGACCTCAGAGCAGTTAACAGTCTTGAAGCAATAAATGACCCATCACGCTTTACAATCAGTTTTTCCCCAAAGCCTGTAGGTAGTTGGTTCACAGAATGGGGTCAAGAGGAAGATTCCTTAATTATCTCAGGCATACATAAACATGGATACGGAAACTGGCAAACTATTCGTGAAGATCCAGATTTGGGACTTCAAGAAAAACTTTCTGTTGATAAGGATGATGCCACTCTACGAGCCTCCAATATAGCAAAGGTAGCTCGTAGAACAGAATATTTATTGAAAGTGATCAGAGAGTGGGTTGAAGAAAATCAACAAAAGGTGAGGGTGTTTATTAAATTTATTTATAAACTTAATTTGTTCAGTAAAAAGTAATAATATTTTTATATTTATAATAAAAATATCGAGGCCCAAAATGATGCAAACGATGAAGAAGTGAAAATAAACCTTGTATGCAAAGAGTTGCTGCGCTCAGTCAAAGATAGTCTCCAATGGCTAAAAAAAGTAATTTTATGATTCTGATTATTTTATTAAAAAACTTTTTATGGAAAAAATATAATGAATAGTTATTTGTTTATTTTGCAAATTAAAATATCTATTTTTTTATAAATTTAGGAGTCAATAAAACATGAGGGAAAAGAAAAGGCCAGATTGATTAAAGAACACATGAAAATAATCGGATCTAAAATTGATGAGATACTTTCTACAAAGTCTGTTGGGGAACGAGATGAGTGGAAACATAATCTATGGAGATTCGTTACTTATTTTTGGCCACGAGAAGTTGATGCTGATCAATTGATTGTTTTACGAGATAAACTCATTGCTGCTGAATCAGAAAAGTCATAAATTTTTCCTTTGAAGAATCAAAACAAAATACACATATTAGATTAATTGTATTTTTTGTGGTTGATAAGCAAAATTATATTGCAATTTTTATTTTTTATAATATACCAAAGCTAATTGTAATTTAACATAGGATAATGATTAATTAATTAATTATCCTTTGTTATTTATAGTAAAAGAATGGGGCAGACAAAATGATAAATTTGCTAACATCGCAATTGTTTTTCCATTCCCAAATAAAAAAAAAAATTTACATCAAACAAAATAGCATAGTGAACGTTTGTTGTTACACGAACTGTTGTACAGAACTCATTGCTTCTGAAACTTCGCCAGTATATAGTTGTTATCTCTCTAGATTGGAGATCAAGTTCAGATCCAATTCAAATCCAGTTTATCACTTACTTTTTATTGCCAGAATGTTTGCCGTGTATTGTAAAGCTACATTGCACGATATAAAAAATTAGTGTAACATTTCAATATTATTACTAAATCGTTGATCTGATTCGTCGTGTAACTATGTAGTACAAAAAATGGATAAATTACACAGGAATCACTGGACAACATCCACCCAAAGAGAACGGCGAAAACCCATCACTCGTCGTAAAAATCATCACCTATAATCTGTATGTATTAGTAATAACAAGTATTTGCAACGTGTACCTTTAAATGTTAGATGCTAATTTTTTTTTTTAATATATTATTTCACTTTTATTGTAATAATCTTTTTTAGTATACCTTATGGAGTTATCAGGACAACATACCTTATCATTTTGGAGTTATCTAAAGTGGCATTCTAAATAGTTGCCTCTTTAGTGGCTAGAAAGCAAAATCGAAGGCAGACACGTAACGAATTACAAATTTAAAAAAATAAGGAAAAAGAATTTGCCATTAAAGAAAGTAATAAACCTGTTTGGATGACCAAAATACTCAATTTAATTCTAACATTGGAGAAACTGAACCCGAAGCTTTGTACAAATATTAAATCATCCTTAATTAAAAAAGGGCAACACTCCATCCTTGTGGACGAAATGACTTAAGCCTGGTTCATGTAAAAAAGATTGCATACCTGGTTTCAACCGTCTTTGTAATTGGGTGTAGCAATCAGTTTTTATATGATGCAAAGATGGTGGTTGCCAGCCATCATCAAGTTGCAGCCACGGATAAGACATTCTAGCGATTCGCGGGAAGGGTCTGTAACTCAGGAAGGTTTTCTTTGAAGAATTTAAAGAACTCAAAGTTCTAGGCATAGGCCCACTTTTTCCAGGTTTTTTGGACGCATCAGTACTCATTGCCAGGAGAATTGTCTCCAGGCGCTTGGACGAAGTGAAAGGATATTTTATTAAATCTGACACCCGAGTTCAATATGTTAGATTTAATCATTATTTATTTTTCAACTCTTCATGGTTTTAGTATATTACTTGGGCGATGTAATTTATTAATATATTCAAATAATAATAACACATAACCATCATGAATATTGTATATAATAGATATAATACAATAGTTGGGAACAAAGGTATTCATGCGACAAGGAAACGATAAAGAAAAGATATGTTTTATTTATTTTGTGATAATCGTCCGTGGAGTATATCATAGTATTAGTGGTAATAAATCTTATTTTTATTATTATAGAGACAAAGATAATTTGGAATTCACAGGAGGCCATTTTAATAAACAATTGGTCTTTTGTTGAAGTGTATAAATTGGTTAGGAAAATTTAATTTTTCTAAACATTTTTTTACTTTAAAAAATTCAATGATTATTCTAAATTTATTCTTTAATATGGCATTTTTATCAATTGGAATATTGATGTTTTTATATGATTAATATTTACAGCGTGTGTGTCATGAAAAATTAAGTTGAATTAAACTTATTTTATGTTCTATAATAAAATTTCTTTTAAATAAATTAATATAATATTATCGAATTATTGGCAATTTAAAATTATTTTATCAATACTATTATTTTCCATTACTATTTTGAATTTGGAGCGAATTTTTTGATCAGATTAAATTAAATTATAATAAATGCAAAAAATCAATCCTATATTGTTTTAGTTTTTTGGGTCTACATTTGGGCAGAATTTTTATAAAACATATTAATTAAGTGTAGGGGTATGTCGAATGATTTCCGGGCCATAATAATACATCTTTCAGAGATCAAAGATCGGCGGCCTTTTTGTTATCAACACCCCATTTGTACAAAATTCCATCCATCTTGATTCTTGGGTGTCACGTTATACGTTCAAAAAATTAACCAGCCACTTTTCGAAATCTTTCCATCGGATATCATGAATAATAATAATAACAATGTTCTTCTTGAAACTAATGGACGAACATCAACAATTATCCGTAAAACAAATGAAACAAATATTTCAATTGAATTAAATTTAGATTCTATTGGAGATCAATTAATTAAAATAGATTCTGGAATTGGGTTTTTAGATCATGTAAGAAGAATAAAATATAGATGACAAATACTAATAAATATTAATGATGTTGATGATGACAAAGGTGATAAATTATTGATGACTTTTTAGATGTATCATGCACTTGCTAAACATTCTGGTTGGTCCTTAAGTTTAAAGTGTACAGGAGATTTGTATATTGATGATCACCACACAGCAGAGGATACAGCTATTGCATTGGGAATGGCATTTAAAGATGCTTTGGGAGCACCAAAAGGAATTAAAAGATTTGGATATGCATATGCACCATTAGACGAGGTAACAATGACTATATTTTTTTATCATAATAAGAAAAAAAAGAAGAATTTATTGTTATTATTATTATTATTAAGTTGTTAATTATTATTTTTTTTTTTGGTAGGCATTATCTAGAGCAGTTGTTGATATATCAGGAAGACCATTTGCAGATATTAATCTTGAGTTGAAACGTGAAAAGATTGGAGATTTATCAACTGAGATGTTGCCTCATGTTTTATCATCTTTTGCTACAGCAGCAGGAATTACATTGCATGTTGATGTGTTGAAAGGGAAAAATGATCATCACAGGTTTAATTTTAGAATTTATGAATGAATAGTTGATGGATTTTCTCTCACTTTGTTTTATTTTTATTTATTTAGAGCTGAATCATCTTTTAAAGCACTCGCTGTAGCTATACGTCAAGCAATTGAAATAACTGGCACTAATGATATACCTAGTACAAAGGGAGTATTATAATCATAATCATAATAATCATCATCATAATGTAACTCTGGAGGTCATTGTTTCAATTGACTGTTTGCATGTGTATTTTTTAACAATCATTATAGCTATTGAAAGAAAAAAAACATATTTTGCATATTTTGTGTATTTTGTTTATTATTATTTCAATTATAATTACAATTATTAAAAAAGAAAGAGTATATGTATGCATGTGTTGTGTATTTATTTATAAATTTACAATTGACTTGCTTTCCTACAATATATATAAATGTGTGTAAATAAACATGATTGAAATTTTTTTTTAAAAAAAAAAGGCGATCAAGAAACCACACAATTGTCTTTTTTATTTTTCTTTACGTTATCAATCAGCGTAGCCCTTGATCTTTGTTGAGCTTTTTTATCACCATGTTCAGCAGCGCGATGATACCAAACAGCGGCTCGTGATAGATCCTTTTTAACCCCAACGCCAACTTCAGAGAAGTAACCTACAGCATATTCAGCTTTCGCCAATCCTTGATCAGCAGCACGTTTAGCCCATAAATACGCTTCTCTGTCACTTTGAGGCAACACCCCAGGACTTCCAATAAGATACCAAGCTGTCAATGCAAGACAAGCTTCAGAATGGTTTTGTTGAGCGGCAATTGTGTAGTAGTGAATTGAGAGCGCAGGATTTGGCAGACAACCATTTTTTCCATACTCATAAAATTCGGCCAGTTTATATGCAGATGGAGCATAGCCTAAATCTGCAGCCTGTGTTAACAATTGAATAGAATATTTCATATCTACCAATACAATGTCCTCAATACCTTTCTCATGTAGCTCAGACAATTCATGTAAAGCATGTGGAAATTCTTCGTTTGCCAATTCAGCTGATCTTTTAAGCCATTTTACACCATCTCTAGGTTTTTTTGATGAGCCGAGCTCGCCTCTTAATTCAACAATACCTAGACGATACAAAGCACCAGGATGACCTGATGGTACCGATTTCCTATGTATATGGCACAAACATTTTACGTATTAATAAAGATAATACAATATTAATATAATTAATTTCATCAAAATAATTCATTAATTAATCTACTGACTTTAAAAATTTTAGAGCTCTAGCATTGTCTTTACGACAACCCCATCCATTTTCATAACATATACTTACACGATAAGCGGCCCCAGGGTGATTGCGCTTAGAAGCTTGGACAAACAAGGGAAAAGCTTTGTCAAAGTCAGGTTTATTTTTTGGTGTACCGATAGCATTTGCATAACAATCGGCAAGGTAATATTGAGAGTTTGCATGACCTCTATCCGAAAGTTTTTTTAGTATGGATATTCCTTCTTTGCACAATTCTTCTCTTTTTTTTTGTTTGGAGGGTTCTTCCATAACTCTTGAAGCTTCGATGATAAAAGCAGCCAATTCAAACTGAAGCTCAGGGTCATTTGTTTTTTTAGCATTTTGAAGATATAAATCTAAAGTTTGAGAGTAAGGGAGTAGGGAGGCTCTGTGACCAGGTTTGAGGTGAGATTGGTTAAGCAACACAAAAGAACTAGGGCCATGTATTGAAGTTGTCATTTTTAGAACGTGTGTGTGTGTGTGTGTACATATAATATTATTTTTTTTTTTTTTTTTTAATTTTTTTTTTGATTTGAGGAAAAAAAATAATTTTTTTTCTTAAAAAATATATCCTCTTCCCGCTTAGATATATATACGTACAGTATCATGCTTCTTGAAATAGATAAAAATTTTGAAAATCAAAGATATCATTGAAGAGAGGGTTGGAAAGATTCAATAATAATTGGTCGATTGATTGGTATGAAATTAACATTTTTGTATTAATCATATTATTAATAATTATGGACTATTTGTGTTTAAACACTAAAATCTTTATAAAATATTATTTCTATTTATTGGGTTTATCTGAAGATTTTTATAAGTATTAAATTATTTTGTTTATTTCTAGGACGTAGTAGAAAGCGCTGTTGTCGAATGTTTTTATTAAGCAATCAAAGTTTATTCTAAAATATAAAAAAGAGCTTGCGAGTTGTAGACCACTTTTAGGTTGCTTTACTTTAGAACAATTAATTTGCGAAGCTTTACGTAGAATGGATAAAAATACCATCTTTTGTTTGACTTGCAACAACTGTGAATGGATCAAATGTAAATTTTTTTTTGATAAATTTTGGCGACGAGCAAAGATCCATGTAAGTTTTTTGTCTCATGATATCGTCGTGCCACTGGAAGCAGGTAAATATGATGGCTCTGTTTGATTTTAAAAAATTGGCAAGATTTATTTTTAGAGGTTAATTTATTTTATATGCAGGTGAAAAATATTCTTCGATACAAATAAAGTAATATATTAATATCGTATCAGATTTCAAATAATCTAAATGAAACATCCTCGACAGTTAACGAGCTATTATTACCCTCGACAAAACAAAACACGAACAAAAAACTATACCTGGACCATAGAATTCGTTTGCGATTTATCGAAAAGATTTATCAAAAGAGCTTGGTAGATCGGATAATTTTATGTCTACATGCCATTCGTCAATAACAGGATCGAGAAGATGGAATTTCGTTGCAAATTTCATATCGAAAAGGTTTGCTCATGAACTTTTGGTAATCTGAATTTTTGAGAGCAAAATTAAAATGCGAAACGTTGTGGCGGATAAATTTTTTTTTGCAAGTGGTAATAGTAAAGAGAAATTGCTTTTGGGTGAATTGTATAAAATCCATTCAACAATGTATCAGCATCCTTTTTTTATTTTTTTAAGAGTTTCATCCGATTTTCCTGAGAAGAGAAAGTTCATAATAATAAAGTTAATTAAATGAACATTAACATTAATATAAAACACCAATTATATAAAATTTACAATTATTATAGACCCCAGACGAATTCAATCACTCTAACTTCATCAACATATTACCAGCGTCAACACTGTCTTCATCCATCTTCAATATTTAACTTGTAATACTAGTGAATTTTTAATCTACCAATTTAAAACTTCAAGTCGATAATCAAGAAATATTTTTTATTTTATGTATAAGAGTAAGTAATCCCGCAAGTTTCTGGTATTACTTGCACACACACGTACGGTTAATTGGAAAAAAAAATTTTATTTTTATTTTTATTGACATATTTTTTTTTCTGGAATGACTATCATTAGTTTTAGAGTTTGATAAAAAGATAGATGCTGGTAATGTATTTTTTAATTATTATTGTATGAAACATCTATTTTTGCCTCCACAGGTATGGCATAGTAGATTTTTATATCACGAAAAAGAATGAGTTATAGAAATTTTGATTGATGGTAAAGCCTTTGAAAAATTCGAAACAAGTATGTATTCATTTTGATCATAATTAAAAACAATTATAAAAAAAACATGGGTGGAGGAGGGCATTTCAAAGATATCAATCAAATCCTTCCATTTTCTATTATGTATTAGGCTCGGTTACAATGATAAAAAAAAAAAAAAATAAATAAAAAAATAATTTTTAAGGAATCAAACGGAAATATTTTTTAAAACATAATCTTTTTGAGATGCAATATGCATTAATGATGTAAAGCATCATATACAGAATTTGAGCGGTAAATTCTTTTACAAAGATATTTTCGTTTAATTTCATAGACAAAAAAATTATTTGTAAAACCAATAAACAAATGTACATAATTTTATTTATATATAATATAATATAAAAGTAAAAATATTATATAACAGATTAATAAAAAAAAAATTTATAAGATACACGTTCAAATCGAAATTAATTGAATTTTTCCTCCTTTAATTCATATTTTTTACTCCAATAAAAGCTGAAATTAAACTAGAAGTAGCACCCCACAAAAAGATCAAAATAAATTCATAGACCGATGTGTCAGGAACATCGAATACCTTTTGTGCATCCGCTTGATCAATATTTGATTCATTATGCACGTAAATGGCGTATATTGGAAAGGCGATCAAATACGACAAGTTGAATAAAAGTAACCTAAAATAGTTATTTATAAAATGAGAATTTAAGCCAAGAATAAAGGCGATAAAGAGAATAATAAAAGCGATCAAAAATGCATGCATACGATTCTGTAGAATTATCGCCAACAATATTAGCTATATTTCCGAGGAGATGCACCAAAGAGGCAAAAACCAAGTATCCTAACTGCTTTGGAGGGTTGAAACTGCGTGTACCAACAGTATTATTATTATTATTATTAGGTAAGAGTGGTGCACTTTCTGGATTGCCTTGATTAGGAGGATGATTCTTGGCATATACTGCAACACGGAAGAAGACGAGAGGCAACATAAAGTCCCATACCAAGCCTGTTAAAGAGGTAATAGTTCAGTACTCAGGTTAATGATTGATTAACAACTCATAAAAATGAGTTAACAATGCATATATAAACTTGCCTTGGGTCTTGAAGAACAAACTATCATAATACCATTCTAGCTGACTGGTGCCCGCTGTGGCGAGTACTCCATATGTTACTACGACAAGGAGGGCAATAGCGAAATTGAATTGTTTTCTGCCAGTTTGTAATAATGCTGCCAATAAACAAACTTCCATAATATTATGGAATATTCCAACGATTGACCACAGTTTGCCCAAGCCAAAAGCTATATTTGCAACCACGGCAAGAAATGTGGCATTTATGTAAGCAGTAAGGATAAAACTCAAGATGTATGTTGTCCAGCTGAGGCGGTTAATGTATAGTGATTCTTCAGATGCCCTCCTCAATCTCCTCACCATATTGCCGAACCTGTTATCGATTCTTCTAGCGGCGAAAAAGATGGCAATAAGACCTGCCAAACCAACGACCAAAGCTACAACATAATCTGATAACATGACTTTTCTGTCATATAAAGATTCAGAGGAAGGGTCATCGGCTTCCCATATTGGTAGACCAGTAAAATTTGATTTCTTTTGTGGTGGGGGTTCGGGAAAATTCACAGTAAAACCTAGATAAATTACTACCGCGGTCTGCAAAGAGACAATTATCGGGCCTACGATCCTACCAATTTTGCCGATTAATTCGATTGACATTGTGAATTTGAAGTAAGATAAATGTATATTAGAGAATAGGTGGTTGGCAAAAGAATTTTATTAATGATGATGGAAAATATAACGTCTATTTATAACTGATTAAATAAATTGTGGAACAAAAATATTTACGGAAAGTCCAGAAAAGTAGGCTTACTATAACAATAAACTTGATGTGATTTGTTTTATTTGTACAACCAAATAATTACCAAAATAATATTAGCTATAGAACTTCAATTTTTTCATTGAAATAATAATAACAAAAGCAAAACAAAAGTCTTGTTTAATAATAACAAGGTTTTGGGAATTTATCCTAAAATATAAAATCAATAGATGTATTTGATTATCAATCAATTAATTTATAAAAATCATTCATTGTCTGTCACTCTTTATACTTATTATATCATAACCAAAGCCAAATTCCCCGCGCGTGTTTTATTTCACAAAAAATGGATATATTAAAATTTTAAATTTATTCAATGGTTCTTTTCTTCAGTAGGTGTATATAGTTAATTCTTTGTGAGCCTTCGTGGAACAGGAACTATACCCACTTTTGCTTAGTAATTGATTTTAAACAATATCTTTTAAATATTTAAACTTTTTGAAAATGGGACTTTTTTTCCATTTTTCTGACCGGATTGTGTATACAAATATAAAAAAATATAATAATAATTATTAATACAAATTTTACGGATTTTGTAAAAAAGGCGAAGTACATATAATTTACAATTTAAGTTTTTCAATGTTTTTCTTTGTACGTGAATAGATGAGAAAATATAGATGAGAAATATAGATAAAATTTGTTTTATTTTGTATATTGAATGTTCTACATTTTTTAAAGTTTATTGATCGTCAAATAAAAATTACTTAAATGTTTAAATAAATACACCAAGCAGATTAAGTGTAATGACGTCGATCAAATTAGCTTTGTAATAATGATGATAATAATAAATAACAACAATAGAAGAAACAAACATTAATTTATAAGAAACTGATTGGTTCCTGTGCACGAAGATTAAAATTTGGAGATTAAATACCGTGGGTTTTTTTCGTAATGAGCGAGCGAATAAATGGTTAATCAATTAATACCATAGGTTGTTAATCAAAGAACTTTTTGATTTCCAGATTTAGAATTTATAAGTATTAGTATTGTCGAAAAAAAATTGTTTTTGGGTAGTTTGCGTAATGTTTTTAAAGATTCTGCATATGAAAATAAACGTTTACACACACAGTCTTAAACAATTTTTAAGCGAATTCATTTGCAATTTTCTTGGCTTAAAAAGGAATGAATTACGAAGATTAAATTATGAACTCCGGATTATTATTATGAAAATTTGGGTAAAAGACTTTTTTAACAAGTGGTGTGACCTATTTAGTGTTTTGTGTATAGTAGAAAATTGTTATTATTGGTCACATCAAAAATCAGGAAAATTAATATGGTCAAAGCAACAAAGTTTTAAAAATAGAAAAATAGGCAAGTAATCGATGTAGAAGGTTTTGTGTCCCTTTTCCATTTTAATAGTAAATAAATTACCAA